CCCCAAAACCCCAAAACCCCAAAACCCCCTGGTACATGCTAGTGCTAATTAATGATTCGTAAATTTTATATTTGACTAATAATGAGTTTAACTATTTATATCACACAGATTTATATTATAAACCCTCTAGTAATTTTGCTTGTAGAACGTAGTTCATCTAGCTTCTTAAGTCCAAATTCTCATCTCTGAACCTCTTTACCTCTTGTTTTTGCTCTTTTATCTTTGATTGAAGGTTTCCAACTTTACTTGATAGTTTTGCAATCTGATTATATGACTTATGAAGAGCTGCATCTTTTTCATAAAGAATTTATTAATAGTAGGCCTCAACCAAATGCAAGGGAACCATTACTTACTGATTCTCGCTATTGTTGAGATCTTTGTTACGAGGTGTATTACTAAGTGTCGAGGGTTGAAAATCTGATTATAAGGGAAAATTTTAGGAATTCGATTGTTTGTTCGAATTTTAACTCTAATTACTATTGGTATTGCTAGAATCGCGCTAAGCTAGAGAAGGGAGATTTAAGTTTTAAGCAGCAATCTCGAATGGAATCTTGCTGTTTTTTTATCCTTTTCTTTGATTCTCAATATTAACGAAAGTTTAAGCTTAATTAGGCAACAACATATTATTAACCTAAATAATGCTATTCTGTTGAGGACAGTCGTTCTTGTTTGAGTTAATATTATTGTATAGCAAGCCACCATGTTTCCTGAGTTCATTCATAATTTCGTAATTATCTACTGATGACCTTTGATTACCTTGCATTTATCCTGCCGCCATCTAATTACCCATTATTTAATAATTGAGCTGCTTTTGCTAGGGCAAAACAATATTATTATCTTCCAAATTTATGGAATTAAGGCTCTTACTTTCGGTGCTTTGGTGCTTAATGATTGGGGAAATATGCCCAAAATCCCCAATCATTTTGTAATTATTATGCGATGAGTTGTAGCTCGAGACTGAAAATGTTGGAACTTTGTAATTATTTAACGTTTTAAGGTGAGATTATTGCTGGATATTTCCTGAAGATGTCTAGTGCTCACTGCTACTCTCATTTATAATTAGATTTTGAAACTTATTTAATTATTCTGCAGTGTGAGATTATACCTTTTGATCATCGATGAATTAATTGGAGAAAGTAGTTTAAGATTTCTGCATATTTATGGAATGCAAGGAGTAAGAAACATAGTCTTTAGTCACATTGATGGTACCTGCTCTGTTTATATTTTGATCATTTATTTCTCCACCTCTTTAATGATTACTTAATATTCTCCTGTGCTAGCTAAATCTGTTGTTTAATTGCTTTAAGGAATCCAATTAAGATGACTTCCTCTCATCTCCGAATTCGTCGAAGTCAGATGCCTCTTCATCATCATTTAGCATAGGTGTTTAAGCATCATCACTGATTATTTTGACTAGGAGCAAAGGACTCTTAGCTATGATTTCCTTTTGCCTATCTGAGAGCTCAGATTTGGAGACTATTGATTTGGCAAAACTTCTTTTATTTTCTATCTCAGGACTGATCTTCTAATCTTCTTCCTTACTTTTTTAAATATAGTTTTGGTTGCTTTAGGGAGAAGTGCTTTATGCTCTAAATTCTGGACTTTTAACTTCACCAAGCTCATCCATTTTGGACTAACTAGGATGAAAATTCTTCCTAAAGCTTGATCTCAAAAGATTATCCAACTTTTAGCTTGATTTCTTATTAGAATCTTATTTCACAGTTTTTATTGCTTTCATTTAATCATTTTAGAAAACTAGGTCTATATCCCTAAGAGATCTCTCAATAGATGCCCTGGATTGATTCAAGAATTCTTTGTCATGCTAGCCAGCCCCTTAACCTAGAATGTGATCTTTGAAGTCGAAAACTTATTTATTAGGATTTTATTTCATGTCCTAGGTTATCTATGGCGTCTTTGTTTAGTGCGGTGGACTGTCGTAATACTCATTAGGTGTAATCATCTCTAATTGCTTTATTTTCTTATTCTCATCCTCGGTTATCTAATCAATAGTATTATTTTTGCCCTTTTGTGATGGCTAACTTTTAATACAGCATTTAAACAATTGGAATTTGCCAGCTGGGGGCTTGACTGCTTGTCTTTTTATATCTTTGCTCATTTATGATGTTATAATAGAAGTATTTGAAAATTCTTTGAATAAGAAAAGAGTAAAACTCTATTTTCGCTTTATATAATTTATTTATCAATTAAGCTTATTAAATTTATACCCTATATCTATTACTGCGGGGTTTTGGGGTTTTGGGGTTTTGGGG